ATACAATCAGCATATAAATACAGTACGCTTCCTGAGCCATCCCATGGGCGCACCTCCTTGCTTGTTGAGGCACACATGATCGAAAGTAATAGCAAACCATTGTCGCATGTGAGCTCTGATATCTCATTTACTGTTAGTCGATTCAAAGAAAAATGGTTCCGAATGACCTTCAAAACTCGGACGAGTTAAGTACTGTAGCAAAACGTGTTGGAAGGAGATCGAAGATCATTAAATATGGCGGACTGGTTTATTATCTTTGTTGATGCCCACCCAAATATGGCGGGGAATTGTTTAGGGAAAACAAAACTGACACTCTCTTTCTGCAGAATAAATAAAAGGAAGAAGGCAGAGAGATGAGACAGATGTGAAGCAGAGGCGTGAGGAGAGACGATATGTGGGAACCGGAAGCTGGCACGTGGAAGCATATGCCCTGAGAAACGTCTTACACGCCCCACAGCGTGTCTTCCACATTCATCTTTAGCATATTTAACTCCACTTCTCATCTGCGCTGACCCCCACCTCCTTCCTCTCATCTCCTTCTTCATTCTCTCTTCATGCAGCACAAAAACATATAAACGAAACCAAGTCAATGAATCCCAAAACAGGGTTCCTGCATGCATCATTGCACTATTGCAGTACGCTGCTCAAGCTTATTACTCCAATAACTTATTTGCACATCTTCTCAGGAAGCTCCTGGCAGATTGATGCCTATATTCCCTCCATTATTTTATGTTGGTGATTCACCCTCTAATTTTTATATTCCGAGTTCCAGCCCCTTCAGTTTGTAATTTATCCTCACCACCAGCGTCATCATGTTCCCCCTTTGATTCCATTCACACCATAATATTACTATATTAGCATTTATACACACCAATCTATGGGCACAGTGCTCATTATTTTATCCCCAGGTCCTGTTCATCAGAAAAAGACCACCGTATCTCCCACGTACTGGGCAATGACGCCTCCCTTTACTTATTGCTGCAGCTCAACTACTTATTGTTGTTCATCGCTTTGCTTCTTTATTATTATGTATATTTGATGATTTGACACTTCACTAACTAATACGTAAAAACTTCTACTAATTTCTACTCCCCGCCGCGCACACTATGCAAAGTAAATAACTGTGTCCATGACTAAATGTACAACACGCACCTCTAGGTACTCTCAAATTTCTAGGTTTAAATTCGACTGCGGCGACAGAGATGCTGGATTCCTAATTAGAATATTGTTATTACTACTCCAGTAACGCGCTTACTTTTATAAAACATCAGATGTCAACATCGTTTGATGTGTCCGCGAATCTTTAAGTTGTTCACATCAAGTTTAACTGATTAAATAAATGCCAAATACGGCAATGATCTGTGAAAACCCTGGTTCTCAACTATATTTTTAAGCAATACATGAGATTCATGACTGAATGAGACATGAAGAATCTTCTATCGTATTCTCCAATAGAAGAACTATATATACAATTAGATTAGATGTGTCTGTGTGTGCGTTGATAGATTTGAAAGGGAACATACTTTCATCATTTAGTTAACCAGAAGAAATAAAATAATCTATGTTTAGCTAGTTAACAACTCGGGCATGAAGGAACCTGGGGGGGGGGGGGAAGATATTCCATTCACACCAAAATTATATTAATGATTTGTATCTCGTATATAATTGAACTAGACCTCTCATGATCCCACCGTGCTCAAAATGGATGCTCACCAAGATCCTCTGATGCACATTAACGACTTCCAGCTTCATGACTTCATCGACGACACCAATGTCGATCAGTTTATCAATTTGCTCCGCGGGGAGAATGAACACTCGTTCTGTAACTTTGATTCTGACCATATCAATGGCTACTTGGCTGATAACCAGTTTCCTCCATTCCCTGCAAACCTGTTTGAGTCTAATGCTGCTTTAAATGCTTATGATCCAAGCTCTACGCTTAGTTCCTTCTCATGTTTTGATGGAGAAGTGAAGGGAGGAAGAGGAGAAGAGGAGAATGATTCTTCTGCAACAACAACCACCACCACTGAAACTACCACGTCTGCTAATGCCAAACAGAAGTCCAAAACTGATCGATCCAAGACACTGATCTCTGAAAGGAGGAGGAGAGGCCGAATGAAGGAGAAGCTTTACGCATTGCGTTCTTTGGTTCCCAACATAAGTAAGGTATGTTTCGCCGTCACAAACTAGATCTAGAGCAAATATACTCTTTTGTGGTTAAAGGTCTAAGCTTTGGCTATGTGGTCCTAGTCTTATTCTTCTACGACGATGGACGATTCGATTCTTGAGATTTAACAAATAGCAAGTTGAAAATTCTCCCGGATGGAAGGAAGGTAGGATTATGGAATATCTTACATGCATCTTTCGCGAACCAGAAATTATAATATTCTAAAAACTACAAAAAAGAGTAACAGCAATAAGATTAAACAAATCAAATGAAGTCATAAAATAGTTCCTTAATTAAAACAAGGGCCTGATGATGGGCTGTGAGTCATCTAGGGTAATGTAAAAATATTGTAACGGCTAAATATTCGAGGCCATCAACTTCTGTTCTATGGCTGTGTGACGTTTCTTCTATTGTTTCTAACAACATTATCTACATTTTAGAATTTACATGAATCTGTGTAGTCTAAAGAGCATCTAGTTTATGTCGGTGAAGGTAAATGCTAAACGTTAACTGGTACAAATATTTGCAGATGGATAAGGCCTCCATCGTGGGCGATGCTGTGGCATATGTGCAGGAGCTGCAAGAGAAAGCTAAGAAGCTGAAAGCTGAGGTTAAAGGGCTTGAAGCCTCTATGCTAGCGTCGGAAAACGATCAAAGATCAGCTAAAATCCCCACGAGTCAAAACAACCACATCCACTATCCGATCTGCATGAAGATCATGCAGGTTTGCTTCATTAAAACTTGATAAGATGCTGTTACTTAGGGCTCTTCAGATTTAAGTTGTAACATTTTGGTCATGTTGTTGTGCAGATGGACATGTTTCAAGTGGAGGAGAGAGGGTATTACGTGAAATTGGTGTGTAATAAAGGAGAAGGAGTGGCTGCCTCCCTCTACAGGGCTCTCGAGTCCCTAGCAGGCTTCAATGTTCAGAATTCAAACTTGGCCACAGTTTCTGACAGGTTTCTATTAACATTTACATTGAATGTAAGCTTTCCTCTCATTGTTAATTATTTACTGATATCTTCTCATTCTGAATGAGTCTCGCTCTTTGCTTGCGGATTTAGTGATGATTGATATGTTTAAAACAGGTGAAAGGTTGCGAGCCAGAAATTAACCAGCAAAATCTGAAGCTGTGGGTGGCAGGTGCTCTTCTTAACCAAGGCTTCGAATTTATTACAACTTTCCATGCTTGATTTATTCACCCTGCGACATCTGACTCTCTCACGGGCTTCTCTCCATCAAAACATGACAAATGAACAATCCTCACTGCGTAGCACCGCATAACAATCAAAAGAAAGTCTTCCCTCTATGTTATGTCCCTAACTCTATTGAAAAAACATGACATGAAACACCTTCGAGAATTTAACTCTCTTGTCCTTCAAAAGAACCATTCTGAGTTGTTGACCAGGAGAACAAACATCGTCTGTTATCACTCCATCCCACAGAGCAGATCGTCCTGGATCGGAGCAAATGTCCAGAAGGCATTTTCGTCTATGATCCTCATAATCTCTCCTTCCTTGCCCATTTTCTCCTCAGGCTGTGTTTGGTACAAGAAAAATAGATTTAAAGAAAGGAAAGTCACTGGGGCACTATACACCTGATAGACAACAAAATAATTTTGTTATGCATAAAAGGAAAGCTCCTCGCATTTACCAGAGAGCTTCCAATTCCCATGCTTTGATTTTTCCTATTTTCATTTTGTGCCAAGCAAGTCTAATATGCCGCCTGTTATGTAATAAATTTGGAAAGATCTGTAATATTTTTCTTGATTTTATTCAGTATCAGAGAATTTTCCTATCCTTTTCCAATTCGTGGGTGTGAAATTTTAATTAAAATCATGTTATTAAATTTGTGGCTTCAATAATATAAATTGAATCTTACAAATTTATCTTCTATAAAATTAATAATAATTTTGTTTATAATTATACAACTTACTTATTAGTAGTATATAGCAAATGCAAGATATCTGATCACCAACGATCTCTATGATGCAAGGAAGTTCTGAATTCCAGCAGCAAAGTTCGCCACAAAGAAGTGGAGCATTTACTGTCGAGTCACAAAAATTGTTATCAAGTTAAGAAAAATTAAAACTGAGTATTTTGATAATAATTTTACAAAATTGTTAGCAAGTCTTTACATCTTTTTAAAAAATAAAATTTAATATTTTTAATTATTAAATATTTGAATTAAAAATCATAAAAGCTTAGAGGCAAATTTTTTTTTCATATACTTATTTGATGTCCAGTACTGTTTGGTTAATTTCGAAAATTGCCCAATCTAATTGATGATAATTTTTTTAAAAATATTTTCTATATTTATACGTATTAAACTTGATCTAGTTTGTGGGTGAAAAATCTAACTTTTAAGACATCTATTTTTTTCCGAATTTTTTTCAGAAAACGTGTAACCATATTAAGTTTTTAATTTTTTTGAACACACCTATCTATTTTTTGAGGAACATGCCAATTTGGTTTTTCTGGAAATTGCTTTTTTTTAATTTATTGCATGAAAATGTGTAACTTTCGAATACACCTATCTAGTTTTTCTCAGAATTTCACTGTTTTTCTGAAAATATGCAGCCATGGTCCGAGATCTTTTGCATAGGTTAATACATATGTCGAAACCATGCCTTGTTTTGGTCAAATTGCTTAAAAAAACCCAAAAGAATTATAAAGCGAAAATAAAACCAAAAAAAAAAAAGAATCTTGAATTGGGGGGAAAAAAATAAATGTCGGAAATCGTGAGTGGGAACAGATTTTTACAAGTCAACCATGATCTTCCAAGTTGCACCTGATAAGTTGGAATCACTGGAAAAGGCAGAGAAGAAATTGGCTGGAGAAGAATTGAGAAGATCGCATTGAAATCTGTGTTTGTGCGCGCAAGCTACATCATGTGAGAAACCAGATATGATAACAGTTTTTGCGGGGAAGAAAGAAGGTCATCAAAGATTGTGCTCGCCGGTTTGCCATGGCAAAGCTTCTCAAGGAAAACAAGCGGTCTATTTTTCTCAAGATTCTTGCATACGTCGAACACACCAGTGATGGTCCAGGTTCCTGACATCTTCAAACTTGAAAAAGCCGTCCATCCACTGATCACGAAGGGCCTTTTCCTGCAAGAAACACACATATTTAGGGCCTGTTTGGATAATATAGAAAACTATGGTTTTGGGACCCAAACCATGGTTTATGTCTCAGACTTGCCAAACACCCAGAAAAAAACAGAAACCATGGTTTTGGATCAAAATCATGATTTGGAACTCAAAACCATGGTTTCAGAAGAAGTGAATTCATTCTGTTTCTGGCTCAAATGGGATAGTATGATTGTACCTGTAGAGTAGATCTCAACGATAATATGATTTTAACATTCCTCAATTATTTTTTTATAAACATATTTAATCTTATATTTTATAAATATATATACATATTAATTATATTATTTTATATATTATTAATTATGTTGGTAAAAAAATATATTATTAACAAATTTATTTTTTTAAATTAAAATATATTATAAAATCTATCTTTTATGTAATTATCATATTAACTTATACATATTTTAGTAAAATTTGTACATATAAAAAGTTCTTTTGATAACAACTACTATCCAAACACTCTCATTTATCAGAATCACTTTTTCACAAAATCTATTCTTTACAAAATCTATTTTTTCCAGAATCTATTCTCCAGAAACTATTCTCCAAACCATAGTTTGGTTTCATCCAAACACACCCTTAATGGCAATTACCGGAACATAGTTATAAGCAGCGCAGCAGACATCACTGGGAGATAAATAAAACGGCCGTTCTCTTCAGGTTGAGCCGAGCTAATCATCATAGGCACATGCTGAATCATGTCAATGTGGTTATTTCGCAGTCATCCCATCTGGGAACTGCTGGCTATTCAGTTAAGAAATATGACCATTTCCTTTTGCACCATTTATGGTCCTTAAATATATTTGACATTATCTTCCAAATCAATCCAGACAGCACTACTTGAACATGGGTTACAAGTACAAATAGAGAGCATAATCCTAAAAGAGTAGCCTGTGAGGAAATGGGGGTGCCAACTTTCATAATGGCTTCACACCATGGTATTTTACCTGGCAACCTGCCAGTCAGATTTTCTGGGGGTATCCCTTTCCGAGTCATCGGGTACTTTCACACAAAAACTACCCTAGTAGATGAGAGAGTCTATTGAACTAATTAATCTTGTGAGGCTCCTCGATATGAGACTCATTACAATATGCATATATACATGTGTCAACACATACAAAAATAGAGGAACAAAGACATAATTCCTCTCCCATACTTATTTTGTACAGTACAAAATCACTTAAAATAAGCTAATCCAATCACATGCATATATCCATGTTTCAATATATCAAAAAGCAGAGGACCATGCTAAAAAAATCACCCACAAAGTCTATTGGAAACCAAAAAGTCCAAAATAGCATCAGAATAAGAGGCAAGTTAGTCAGCACAAAGAATCCAAATACCTTGTTAAAAAGCTGTCCAAGCCTGTTAAACTTAACCATTGAATGAAGATGCACTCCTTGAGTCCCAGTTTTTCCATTTACAGCTCTTCCATGACGGACCACAATCACCATCCACAAAGTTCCTCGTCCTGCTCACACGTCCTCATTAATGAGCGTGCGTGCGCCCCCCTTTAATTGAGAGAAAGCAACCTCATTAGAAACAGTTCTTGTTAAAATAACATGAGAAAGAGCATCCAATGTGTAAACAATAGTAATTAAGTGAAATTTCATGTTTCAAGTCACTCTGCATTAGTAATGACTGAGTCTTTGCTGAGACATTCGCCACCTCTTTGCTTCAATATTCAAGCATTTATTTTCTACGAGGACCAATTCCCTTAGCTAAAACGGAGCATCCAAAAACAGGGAAGTGGAAGACCTCCAACAAGAGAACCCAGGAACTTTAACAAGGCTTCGTATAATCCTTCATGGTTTATAACTGGAAGCCTGATTTTCTGAAGTCCAAACCCATTGAACTTACACTCATCTTAAACCTACCATTTTTCATTTCCTCTTACAACAAGGACTCAAGTGTAACCTTCCACAAGGGCACCGTATAAGAATCATATACAATTCACTCTAACTACTATATCAAATCCTTTTCTCCAGATTAAAGCATCTTTGCACATCGAAGAGACTAAAATAATGATTTCCTTAGCAAACGGTCGATTGATGATTGATCACTTTCTTCAGCCACACTAGTTATAAGCATGCATTAAAGATTAAGGATTCAAACAAGTTAATGAAAAAAAAATCAACCAAAATAAAATATTAGGATTTTGACTGTCATCCCTAGTCTCTTCTGGATTGAAGTAGAAAAGAAAATGGAATAAGTTTGGCAGGAACAAAAATCTGACAGCGTTAAAAAAGTGAGGCAGGTTTGAAGGATCACGACTGATCATTTCAAGGGGAAAGAAAAATAAGTTATTCCACATATAACTTTGTACCATTAGCACACATCTCGTATTCTTCAGAGATAAAAGCAGTCTGACGCAGAATCTAGTTTACATTAACAGGTCAATTTTCCAGCAAAATTAACATAGCATAATCCATGCCTTTGTCTCTGTCTGTGTCAAAACAATGCGTTAGCATAAAGAATTTCTTAACATTCTTACAGAAGACCAAACAAGTTTCTGACAGATTACCAAAGATTTAAAATATGTGAACGACATGCTCCTGCATTTAAAAGACTGAACAAAATTTGACTGCGAAGATGACTACTGTAGGTACATATATAAGCGACCAAACCTCACCTGAGAGTTGGAGAAGTTGTTGGCATACTTGCCCGATTCACTCTTGCAAAGCCACTTTAAAATTAAATAATATTCTAGTGTTTTTTGATGCCCCTCATCATTGATCCCC